CAATGCAGTTCTAGGATTTTGGTGCCACAAGCAGCTTGAATTTGCAACTTTTAAAAATACAATTCTAATATTTTTTATAATAAAAACTACAACTGTATTAATAGTGTAATATGGTTCACCACAGCTATGATAAATTAAAATCAAATATTTAAGTCTGGAATAGTAGTTATGTTTACAGTGGCAAATTAAGAATTTACTAAGATAGTGGTAAAGGACATACTAGGCGTAATAAATATTTATGATCATTACACATAAAATATTTTTTTTTAACACATCGGCTATTTCCCACTAAGGTAGGGTGATCCAAAAAGAAAGAAAAGCCCAAAAAGAAAGAAAAAACTTTCATCATCATTCAACACTTTCACCATCACATATAAGTACCAGCACACATAAGTACAATAAGGCACTTAAATTACTGGGAATGATTAAGTCCCTTGATTTGTATTCCCTGAACTGCAGGTGAGAGAGATACATGATAATTTCACTTGGAAAATCCTAGAGGGATTAGTACCAAACTTGCACATGAAAATCATTCCCTGTGAAAGCAAAAGGCTCGGCAGCAGATGCAAGATTCCCCCAATGAAAAGAAGTGGCACCACGAGCACACTGAGAGAAAACACAATAAGTGTCAGGGGCCTAAGACTGTTCAACTGCCTCCCAGCATACATAAGGGGGATTACCCATAGACCCCTGGCTGTCTTCAAGAAGGCACTGGACAGGCACCTAAAGTCAGTACCTGACCAGCTAGGATGTGGTCCGTACATCAGTTTGCATGTGGCCAGCAGTAACAGCCTGGTTGATCAGACCCTGATTCACCATGAGTCCTGGTCTCAGACTGGGCCGTGGGGGCACTGACCCCCGAAACCCTCTCCAGGTATACTCCAGGTATCATACATAATCACTGTCTTTGCAGAGGTGCCCAGTATGACAGTTCAGATGTCCCTCCAAACTGCCAATATCCCAGACCCCTCCTTTAAAGTGCAGGGATTGTACTTCCCATTTCCAGGACTCAAGTCCAGCTAACCGGTTTCCCTGAATCCCTTCACAAAATATTATCCTGCTTACACTCCAACAGCTCGTCAGGTCCCAATGCCAATGGTATCAATGATTGGATAGACATATTTCTTAATAAATTACTTAGACTATACAACAAACATTGTCCCATAAAAATGAAACAGATTACGAATAAACGGCTAGGTTGCCCATAGCTAACTAACAGCATACTAAGATCCATTGATAAGAAACATCAATATGAAAAGCAATAGAGACAGGGCCTAATATACAAAGATATTATTAAACACCAATTCTCACCAGACTAATAAGAAAGGCCAAGAAATTGTACAGTGGTACCTCAGGATACGAACAGCTCAAAACTCAAACCATTATGTAAGTGTATTTATGTAAGTGCTTTTGTAAGTATATTTTTGGGGGTCTGAAATGGATTAATGTAATTTACATTATTCCTTATGGGAACAAATTCATTTGGTATCGGCACTTGAACAGCCTTCTGGAATGAAATAAATTCGTATCCTGAGGTACCACTGTACTATTCCAGCAGATTCACTTAAACAAGAGAAGATATAAAAAAACCTGGAAAACACACTTTCAGATTCTGGGCATCCACAAACTGAAAAAAAAAACTTGGGATATTGTCCTAACTAAGCCAAATGAAACACAACTACGGCCTATTGATACAGTTAACAAGTTAAATGATATCTTCTCAACCATAGGATCAAATCTTGCCAATAAAATTCCAGGTACCAATGCCCAAGCAAGTGATTACCTAGATGAGAATTTCCCAACCTCCTTCTATCTTGCACCTACCCAACCCACTGAAGTCACTACGATTATCAAGTCAATTAAAAATAAATCAGGGAATCTGTCTCAAGTCCCATCATTATTGTACAAGTGAGTGGCTCTCTTCCTTTCGCCTGCCATTTCAATACATTTTAACAAGTCACTAGAAACTAGAACTTTCCCGACACCACTCAAGACAGCAAAGGTTACACCAATTCACAAAGGTGGTGACCCCACAGATGTAAATAACTACAGGCCAATCTCAAACTTACAGTTACTATCCAAAATCTTTGAGAAACTCGTGCACAAGAGATTATATTCATTTATTACAGCACAAAGCATACTCAACCCCTGCCAATTTGGCTTTAGAAAAAACAAAAACACAAATGGTGCAATTGTAAAAATGCTTGACCTGCTTTACACAGCACTGGAAAATGAGGAATATCCATTAAGACTCTTTGACCTAAGGAAAGCTTTTGATACAATAGACCATGGCATCCTACTCCAAAAACTTGACCATTATGGTATAAGAGGCTACGCACTTATGTATTTCAAATCCTACCTTACTAATAGGTATCAATACGACACCATTAAGGACACAACCTCATCTACATGACCACTTGATACTGGAGTGCCACAGGAAAGTGTCCTTGGTTCCATGCTCTTCCTCTTATATATCAATATATCAATGATCTTCCCAATGTATCACAACACCTGAAACCAATTATCTTTGCTGACGATGCAACTTATGTCATTTCCCACCCAAATCTTGCCTCACACAACACAATTGTTAATGAAGATCTACAAAAAATATAAACCTGGATAACTGCCAATAAACTCACACTTAATACTGACAAAACCTTCTATATTATGTTTGGTAACAGAACAGGTGTTGCACAACTGAACATTATGATTGACAACATTCTTATTACTTAATATAATGAGGGCAAATTCCTGGGCCTACACCTTGACAGCAACCTGAATTTCAGCACCCATATCCAACATGTAGCGAAGAAAAGTATCCAAAACAGTTTGGATCCTCTCTAAGATATGTTACTATGTACCACAATCAGCCCTACTCACACTATACTATTCACTCATCTATCCCTACCTCACCTATGCCATTTGTGCTTGGGGATCAACAGCAGCAAACCGCCTAAAACCAATAATACCCCAACAAAGGCTGCAGTAAGAATTATCACACAATCCAATCCCAGGCAATATCCCTCCCCCCACTCTTCAAAGACCTAAACTTACTGTTCAGAAAATCCACACTTACTACTATGCAACCTACATTTACAGAACCATAAATTCCAATATTAACCCTGAGCTAAAATGCTTTCTTGATAGTTGTGACAGGACCCATAGGCACAATACCAAACATAAAAATCTCTATGACATTCTCCGTGTTCGGCTAAATCTATACAAACGTTCAGTGTACATGAACCCTTCCAGGTTTCTGACGTACTAGTACGTTTTACTCACCAGGGTTATCGACATACTAGTACTCATAAATTCTAGCGCCTTCAAATCTAGCGAGAGAAAGCTGGTAGGCCTACATATGAAAGAATGGGTCTATGTGGTCAGTGTGCACAGTATAAAAATGATGGTATTCTAGTTTTCCTGGTCTCATTTTATAGAATGGAAGACATATTACAGAAATTGAGATGATTTTGATTGGTTTCACAATGAAAAGTACCTTGAAATTGAGCTGGAAGTAGCAGAAATGTTCGATTTTTGACAAAGTTCAAAAGTAAACAAATCATGCCAAGTGTCCAATACATGTCAACTGGTGAGTCTAATATTCTTTCACAAGTGTGCTGATATTATTTATACCAT